CTGCATGGGGGAAAAATCGATGGCTGTACATTTAAAGGGAAATTCTGCAGAAAGGGGATTAACTAAACCTGAACGTGTTGTTCACTCTCGGGTTGTCTCACACAGCATCTGGGGGATGAGGATCTTTTCACCCACAGATGGACTCGCCAGTTCCTTTGTGAAAGTTTCATACCAAAAATGGTACCTCTGTGGCTAAAGACTGGACGCTGGGATGCAGGGTGGAGGAGAGTTAGCCAAGATCTACTCGCTAAAAGTATCATCAGTTGATAGACCCGGATCAGAGTTGACTTGTGAGGAGATACAGAACACAGGGAGAAGGGGTTAAGGCGTTCAGTTCAACCTGGAGGCATCTGCAGAGATGTGACTCCAGCCACCATTGGCAAACAATTGAGCATTAACTCTGTGTACTGCAATTAGCACAGCTGATAGATGGTCTTACTGAATTCCGAATAGTGTAGAGATTTGACCGACTGTCTGAGCATTGATCACTGAGCAAAGTAATTCTCTGAGGGTTTGTTCAAGTAACTGTTCATTAATAAGCAAATGAATATAGTTGGTTTAAGGTACGGCTGCATGAAGGCTATATCTTAGGACACGTTTAAGGATAGGTGGTCTCTGCTTTAGCAAAGGCAGCTGGTGTTGCCAGTAATTAATGCTGTAGGTAGTTTAGGGCAATGGAAGGAAGACCCTTGGATTCCACTAGCTTGTCAACCGTGATTGCCACGACCCTTCTGTAATGGACTTAATTATTTCTAGAAGTCACTATTTGCCATTGTTCAAGACACATTTTAAAATCCATTTCACTCTCAAATGGCTGCGTGCTAATTTGCTAGATTCCAAAACACTTCAACTAATGTGAATGGAAACAACCGCTACAATGAAACTTCTAATGGCTTGGAAGCTCTTTAATATGCTTCCAGCCTAACCAGCAATTCCCACTTCCCTGATATCAGGAAATTTCATAGTTTGGTAAAACTCTGGATGGATTAATTCTCCTTTGGCTCTTATGTAACAATTATTACAAAGTAAGGAAATAATAGTACATATCTCATTAAGTTCTGAATCTAAATTAATTACATTTAGACACCTGATTTCACCAAGTTTAAAGTTCTGATATTCACCATTTAAAATGTGATTTGAAAGGAACGATCACTTTGGAGAGAAACAGGTAACTGCTTTTCTTCATGTCCCCCGCCCCTTACTCAGTTTCTCTATGGCCAGCTTTCCTCTGCAACCTTCATGCTACTCTTGTTTTATGTGACCAAGGATGAGGTGTTTGGTTTTGTCTTGTTTTAGGCAGAGCTTCCCTTCATACAGACTCCCATCAGCAATGAACTCTGGAAGGCAGACTCATTTTTTTTTTATCTTTGAACACCAAAGGTTGGTGCTAAGCCTTGAAAAGGGGTTGTTCACCCGTTTTAATCACCAATGGACCTTCCCTGCTGTTCATTTTAAAGCATTTTTCTATTTTTAAGAAGTCTATAAAGTAGAGGTGGTTTGCAAGAGGCAGGGGGAACATAGGCAAGAACAAAAACATTTGCTTAGCTTGGAGGAAACCATCTATAAAAGTGCTACCTGTGCAGTAAAGACCTGGGCCAGAGACACAAATGCACTATTTGCTGATGTTACAGAAATAAGAAAATGAAGCATTGATATAATTTTCGAAGAATTTAAAAGAGAACTGAAAACAGCGGTGCATCTTATGAAGCTCTTCTCCTTAACTAATCTTACTGGCAATGCGTAAACCAATTAACCAGGAGTGTGCAGTTGACGATATGAGGACATAATGGCGCTTTATTCGGTAATAAGCCACCCGGCAAGTAGGCAAGTCATAGTTTGGAAAATTAGTACTGAATCTGTGAGCCTGGAATCCACCATGACTAAAGGCTATTGGTCAATAGATCAGTTGATTGTTTCATAGAACCCACTGGAACTAAAGACGGAGAAGTTTCCTATGCTTGGTTTATACACAGCCTTCTCAAAATCTGCGGGAGACTTTGGACTTTAAAACCCAGAGGCAAGCCACTCTCTTTATCTGACAGTCTCCATTATTGCATGCCTCTCATCTCCAGCTCCCCTCTGTTGGTAATAGCAGATGGATCGAAGCCAGAGTACAGCTTGTTTAAGTCCCAAAATACTCTACACATCACTTCTATTTCAGATAACGAGCCGAATAAATTAAAACATGGATAAACTTGTCAACACCCAACAGGATCTGACATTCCAGAGACAGTATGATCTCTCACCCATTCGCCTGTGATCAGAAAGCCCAGCTCTGCCTGTGCTAGCTAGAGAGGACTTAAGAAGTATAACAGTCATCAACACACTCCTTTAGACACATCCCAAACACTCTGTATGCACGTCTTTAGGAAACAGCACCACATCCAGGGTGCTGGGAAGTCCGGCTGTATACCAAAGTATATTGGGTTTACCTTTATAAATAACAAGTTAGGACCAGCTCAAGATCTCACACACAAGTGAGCCCTCGAGAGGAAAGAAGCTCGGGTATCCTAGAAGTGTTACTGACATTTATTCTTCTCCTTAAACCTTGGTGAAGTCCCACAGTTTAAGCTGTACCCACTGCCCCTAGGCTTTCTTACTTGGCATGCAACTGCCTGCACTATTTTCTTCAAGAACCATGATCAGTGGGGACCTAGGACCACTGATGGAAACAGCAAACCAGAGACCAGCTTCCAGTAAAGCAAGGTTGAATGGAACCTTGTACTCACCTGGACCAGTGTCTAAATGAACTTGGATAATTAGCCTCTTCCCCTGCGCGAGTCCTCCCTCTTTCTATGAACAGGAATGGTCCTGTGCACTTCGCTGTGTCTGGAATCCTGGAAAACCAGCTACCTTGCTCATATGCTGACTCAAAGAGCTCACTACCGGCTCCTACCTCCCTATCCCAAGAGCTCCTCACTTTGCTGAGGATCTGGTCCAGACTGAAAGAAGAGTAAACTGCTTCTTTACTTTCTTGGATCTAAAGAGGACCCTAGGCAGGAGTTGGTTGGCTGCTCTCACACGGGCCAGGATGTCATCACACCACCTTCCTGACACTGTGTATAGCACAGATTTACAGAAGGGCGTGAGAGGAGCAGGAGCCAATGGTGCTTTCTGTGAGTCAGAGACTCTCGGTTCAAATTCAGCTGCTTTCTTCAGACTCTCTCTCTCTCTCTCTCTCTCTCTCTCTCTCTCTTCCATGTGTGTGTGTGTGTGTGTGTGTGTGTGTGTGTGTGTGTGTGGTGTTTTCCTTCCCAGAGGAGCTATCTTTGCTCTGTTCTTAGGTCAGCTTTAGTCTTCTGCAGCTCCCGTTTATTTTATTTATTTTGAACAGTCACTTCGATGCACCATCATGCATGGACTGTTTGATTTGCTGTCTCCTGTGTGCCACGTAATTTCTTGGGTAATCTGACGCCCGTTTTCAGTACAAGCAGGGAATTTTTTAGGACATGATTGCTTTCCTAAGACCTAAAAGCTCTAGAGGTGGCTAGCTGGGTCAGCCATCCTATCAGAGAGGTGAACACGCTGCACCTTGCTCTGGCCTTGGTGCTGAACCGGGAGCTTGCTTGCTGAACCGCATTCACGGACATGGGAAACTTTGCTGAGTTGAAGGAGAGCCTGGCAGGGTCTAAGTATCCTTTCATGGGTCACCCCTAGGAAACTGGGCCCAAGTGATGCCCTAGGGCCCCCCCTCCATAGACACGGAGGGCATTTCTTTGCCTGGAGCCAAGAAAGTTTTGTCCAACGGTTTTTCCTGTCACTGGTGCTGCTATGTCCCCTCCCACCTGGGTCGCCATGGAGACTCAGCTCCTTCCTTCTCCAGGCAAAATGGGCGAAGCTTAGTTAGCTCAGCCCTGGCTGTAGGAAGCCCACTTTCTTCAACATTCCCTTTATCCGTTTTCAGCAAAAGACAAAGGTAGCCAGAGCACAGTGCTTGCAGGAAAGTGGCACAGGACTGGGTACCCGTGTGCTCCCCAGGACCCCGAGACTTTTGGATAAAGCAATTGGGGGCATTGTAAAGATGCAATGAATTACCAAATCCAAGATACTGGAGGGGCTCTCCTCTTTCTGTGTATATGGGGGGGGTGGAGGTGGAGAAAGGAGTCTTTGGAAAATTCTGTGATTTCCTTTTCCTCTAAGCTCACCTGGCTTCTGTGGTCGTTTCTATGAAGATCTGTTCTCCCCTAAGAGTCTCTCTTTGTTCAGCCCTGTAAATACCTGTGGATCCACCCAGGACTTCACTAGGCTTGGGGAATATGAATGCCATTTCAGTTAAAAACTAACCCAAGCTTAACCTCTTGGTGCAAATGAACACTTACCCAGGAGAGAAGCTAAGCCAGCAGAGTCACCCAGTCCCTTAAACGGCATAAACACCTCCTTTGGTCCAAGCAGCTCCTTCCTTTCAGTTAGTTTACTTGTGAGGACATCTTCCTAGTTGGTGTCTTCAATCAGTCTGCCACATCTCGGGTTTACTGATGAAAACCATGTGGAGTCCTCCCCTGTCTCAGGGCTTATTCCTCCTTCTGTTCACTTTCCCTCCTTCGCATCCTCTCCTCTTTATGCCAAAACAGAGCCAGGCTACAGCCTTCCACCAAGACAATGGGCTTTTCCTAACTCCCCCTGCCTACATCCGCCAGCCGCACCTGCCTGCCCATCATCAGTGTGTTTGATCTTCACCAGAGGTGCTGATATGAGGTCCATAGTAACTGGCGCCCAGGGCAGGCAGACCCCTCCTCCCGCGCCCCCCACTCCCCAGGCGAGTTTTTAAGCTGCTAATGAAAACCCAAGAGACACATTTCCTTTTGGTTATGTAACTAGCTTTTCCTGCCTCTGGTGGACTTCAGCATCATGTCTCCTCGGAGTGGGGAATGCAAAAAGGCACCAGAGGGGCTGGGGACCTGAGAGCCAGGACCCAAAGGCTCGGGGATCCTAGGACGTGGAACATCTGGCTGGGATCCATGCCAGCTCCTAGCCTTCCAGCAACTTAGCGCACTGCTTACCTTGTGGTGGACAGGGTGGGTCACTCCATCGTGGTCGCCTGTCTTGGAACGGAGCAAGATTTAATAATTCACTCCTCTGTGAATGGCGAGGGAAGAAAACACAAAAAGAAGAGGTAACAGACGAACTGGAAGCAGATGGTCCAATTTCACATCAGCCTCGGCAGGCTGTGGGGAGACTCCATTCTTCCGCTCGCGGTTGGTCCAGCTTCTGCTCCAGCTCCAGGCTCTCTGGTTCCCGCGGATCCCTACCCTCGGCCCGCCCAACCTCTCCAGCCAGGTGCTGCCGTCTGGTGACTGGCTCCCTCTGGCTGGAGGGCTGGGCGCTGGGGCCACCGCGGGGCAGAGGAGCGCGCGTGTGGGCAGCGACAGAGGAGGGAGTCCGGCAGCAACGGAGGGAGGGAGCCTAGAATGGCAGGGGGTGGGGGAAGTCCACGTTGAGGAGCAAAGTGAAGGACCTCGTAGGGAGACTTCATGAAAGCCGCAGATTCAGTGAATGCTATTCGGTTCCAGCCCCACGGACTGAACCGCGCTGTCAGAGCACTAAGCTATGCTTCTCTTCTCGAGATAAAAGCGGGCACAGCGCCGCACGCTGGAGAACCAAGGTGACACAGAGGCAGGCATCAGCATCGCAGGAGAGGCAGCGGCGGGGGGCCTAGAGATGGAGCCGACCGAGCACCCCACCCTTCTGATCCAGCTTTCTTTCTTTCGTTTTTAACCTGCGATGAGCTCTGGGAGGCGCGGGTACAGACAGGCGCCGCTCCTCCAAAGAGAACCTGGAAAAGGCTGGGGAGCCTTTGGGGCGTAGATCCCCAGGGACACCTGTCCCCTCGTGTCACCAATAAGTCCTAAACTCCAGCGTCAGCCACGCCTGCTTGCTGTAGCTTTGCTGTGGGCTTGGTGAAATGTTTAGAGTGGGGTCTCTTCACTGCCTCCCACTAGGGTGACATCCTCCAAGAGTGCACCTGTGAGCCCGGAGGGGAACAGCCAGCAAAATTGGTCTGAGAGGAGGTCCTGCACCCAGGGCTTTACTCACACAGACCCAGATCCAAGAACCAAGCCTGGTACCCTATTCAGTCCATCCTACCCATTGTTCCTGGGACCTAGTGCCAGCTGCTGACATTATCCCTACTTTATTTTCACCTGAGATAAAGGATGTGCACTTTCTGAGTATTATCCCAATTTCCTGCAAACTCATACCCTTTGGACAGCCACCTACTTTGGATTTAGCCTGCTTTGTATGGTTATTCCAGAGAGCATCCCACAGGAATCTCCGATACAACCTGTCTTTCTCTTAGGGTCATTGCAAACAGTAGATCATTTCCAAAGCTGTCTCACATCTACCTTCCACCAAGTACAGACAGTTGTTCATGCACCTTTAACCTAGGGAGAAATAGTTGAACGGGAGACTAAAAGCAATCCACACCACTGACTGATAATTCTATAATGGTTCGTTTAATAATGGGCTATTTTGTGCTGCTAAGTAAAAAGGCTTTTCATCTGAAAAAACATACAAGTCAAGAAGGTGACTCTTCTAATGAAGGGACTCATCAAGACCTGCTCTTAGCGATGGATGATATTTCATCCTCAGTTCATACTTTAAAAAAGATTTAAAAGGTGTGTGTATGTGTGTGTGTGTGTGTGTGTGTGTGTGTGTACCCACAGAGGGTAGAAAACACATCGGATCACCTGGAGCTTGAGTTACAGGCAGTTGTGAGCTGGCTAATATGAAAGCTGGGAATAGAACCTGGGTCCCCTGAGAGAGCAGCCCATGCTCTTGAACACCAAGCCGTCTCTCCAGCCCCAATCTGTACTTTTTAAGGACACAGAAATCCAGTCCCTCAGGAACGTTGTCTGCTTCCTGAGGATGGCTTTAGTACAGGAAGGTGTTTCCCTCAGTTTGCCTCAGCCATTGGGTCCGTCTCACTCACACACGCTAGGGGCTTTGTCTTTGCCGATGCGTTTCCTCCGGAGGTCTTAGGATCTCCATTGCTCATGCCTCAGTTTGGTGTGGTTTTCAGAGGTATTACTATGCACAGCATGTTATGTGTATTCTACACCAGGTCTGCTGGGCCAGGCGATTGTGTCAGAAGTGAAGACAAACCAAGAACCTGGCAGAATGATGTCCAAGGGGTGAGGTTACAACATGTGGTTTTGGTCAGATAGCACCGGCATGGTGAAAGATCTTTATTGCATAAAAAATAGCATTTACTCCACAAAGCTGTTATGGATTTAACAGCTCATATGTATTCTACCAGAAGAGTTTTCAAAGTGTCTTTCTTACCAGCAGCTGATGAAGTTAGGAAATGAACAGTAGGCAATGGCCGTTAAACATCCGGAAACTCCTAGCGTGAAGCAGCAGCTAGGGTGGGATGGGCTACTGACGGTCAAGAAGATGTAGAACCATGTTTTGAATGGGGTTCTGTGAGACAAGAGCTACTGGCTGATCTAGATTCATGTATTCCGTGGAGCTTGGACCATGATCTGTTGAGTGTGGCTGAGGAGTTGGCACCAGTGCCTGGAATTCGGTGCCTTTGGGCTGCACGAGATGCTACCCCTCTGAGCCTCAGGAACTCAAACTCCGAAGTGCCTCACACCTGATGTGTCTCAGATGTCATGTATTTATTTCGCAATGTTGAGTGCAGGCGAGGAAAGAATCTAGGAGGATTCCCTAGGTAGATATCTGCTCCAAAGCTGACACTGGCCGTAGCTTTTAGGATTGATTAATTATACGGATGAGCCTGGTTCCTTCATCTATCAATCCCTAATAGAGGCCCATTAGGCAGTAAAATGGACAGAATGAATGATATCCATGAGGCATCATTTGTTCTGGGCTGTCTTTTTCTTCACCATTGACTGGGTCAATTTACATCCCAATCTGTCTTCCTGGTGCATATGTAGACCAGCCTTGCCCTGGCGTGCATGGCTTTTCCGGCTCCTTGGTCAGGGCTTCTTATTGATTTAAAACCCTGGGTTCCCATGGAAACTCAGTTCTTCTGCTCTAAGCCAACTCCCCTACAAGGAAAAAAAACCCCAACACCCAAACTTATGTCCTTAATAGTCAGGGTTGATATATGAGCTCTGAAATCTGATTTTGGCTATCAAAGATGAAACCTTAAAACAGTTTCAAAATTAGCACAGGGGCTGGAGAGATGGCTCAGTGGTGAAGGGCACTGAAGACTCTTCCAGAGGGCCTGGGCTCAATCCTGGCACCCACATGGGAGATCACAACTGTTTATAACCCTAGCTCCAGGGACCCAGCACTTTCTTCTGGCTTGACCAGATATCAGAGATGCAAATGGCACACAGATGGATGTGCAGGTGAAACAGCAAACACATAAAACAAAAATTTTAAAGGATGTTAAGCAGTTACCCTTTCCTACAAGTCTACTTCCAAAGGATCAAGATTCTACTCTGTGTTTTAGGGAATAGTTAAGTTCTTTTTTCCATCTCTATCTGTGCATTGGAAGGTACGTTCTTTTTTTTTTAAGTGCATAAGTTTATTTTTTTTATTGAGAAAAGGAAAAAAAAGTTTCCCCCTCCTCCCAGCCTCCCATTTCCCTCCCCCTCCTCCCCCTCCTCTCCCCCTCCCCCCACTCCTCTCCCCCTCCCTCTCCAGTCCAAAGAGCAGTCAGGGTTCCCTGCCCTGTGGAAAGTCCAAGGTCCTCCCCCCTCCATCCATGTCTAGGAAGGTGAACATCTAAACTGGCTAGGCTCCCACAAAGCCAGAACATGAAGTAGGATTAAAACCCCGTGCCATTGTCCTTGGCTTCTCATCAGAAGGTACGTTCTTAAGACACAATTCCAGGAATGAATGATGAAGATGAAGGTCATCTGCCTATACTAAGTATTTTAGGGACCACTGCTGGAACCTTCACCCTCAATTATCCAGTTATGACTTCTCGTTCCCTTCGGCACACTCGATTTCCTCATTTTGGAACAATATTCATGGTCTTATCTATTACCAAATTGGAATCATTTGTAAGTATTTTGACATACATTTTTAAGTTTAATTCCATGACTTGCTAAAGGAGTATAATCCACAGATGCCTTTGATCACGTCTTTCTATAAAGATGTATTATTAGCTCACTCTTCAGCAGGTATATACCCTTTTTTAATCACACGCTTCCCCAAAGAATTCATTAAATTACAATTAAAAAATTATAATAGCTTCAAATACATTTCAGAGGACCACCGGGAGGTGAGTGTTAGAGGAACAATCGTGTGAAGGAATCCTATTAGCCTTCCCACACCTCTTAGGAAAAACCATTCCAATTAACAGGGCATCTGCAGGGAAGGAGAATTCCAGAACAAACAGGCAAATTGAATCTGGGAGCTGTTCTTTCCGTGGTTCATCATTGATAAGATGCCCCAAGTCTCTGTGTGTTTTCTGACGCCACTAACAGCAAGGCTGAGTTGGAGAGAGAATGATATCAAAGCCTCCTCTCTGTGTCATGACTACTGAGTCATCATCCCACACTAAGCAGCTATTCACAGAGGACCTGGTTTGCTCTCCCCAGAGGTGCCGCTCTTGCCTGGGATCCCCAAGCTTTCAAGTCTCCCAGCCAGCTTTGCCCCCCGTGGTCAAGCCAGCTTCTAAATCCCAGATCAGCTAGATTCAGACGCTTGAGCAGGAAGTCCCGCCCCCAGCTAAGCAAAGGCTTGCCAAGGGATGGACCTGAGCAGGGGTTTCCTGCATTGCGGATGAGACAGACTCAGGCATGAAGCTAGCACGCTGAATCTTTATTAGAGCTAGTCCTAAGAGGTATAATATACATGGAAACAGCTGTGGAGGGGAGGGCAAAAGAAGAGGTGCTGGGCCTTTACCTCGGCTGACAACAAACAGAACCCTGGAGCCAAAATGGCCTCCTGAGTTGCCCTGCATCAGGGCCAAATGGCCTCCACCAGTTGATTACTATGTGTGAGCCAATCAGGTAAAGATGGGACTTCTGGCCAGGTGGCCTTTCTGCATCTGATAGCTCAGTACTGATTGAAATGGCCTCCTAGTCCCTAGGTCAACAAGCCCTTCTTTGGAGTGAGTTCTGGCATATCAAGTTACTGAAGTGTGTGTGTGTGTGTGTGTGTGTGTGTGTGTGTGTGAGAGAGAGAGAGAGAGAGAGAGAGAGAGAGAGAGAGAGAGAATATCACTGGCTCCTAGTGTGGGCTGTGCACTTCCACACACCTGTATGCAGGGAATTAGAACATGCCCCAGGGCTTGTTTGTTCTTAGACACCCAGAGAAAGCAGACATTTGGGAGCTAGAGTGAGCTGAGCACCTAAGCCTTAGGGTGGTTTCCTCCAGGGTAGAGGTAGTCTCATTTCTGTGTGACCTGTCTGCACTGGACCTGAGAGATTGGACATCTGGTCATAGGTGTGAGGCCCCGGAAAGACAAAACTCTCTGGGTTGAGGTCTTGAGTGGTGTCCTGCTCGTAGGCTCCGTTAGTTAGCAGTCTCCTCATTTAAGATTGCTATACTCTAGAATGTTCGAGTTAGTCTTGAGAACTCTAAGTGAGATCGAGGGCTATCTGGCATGATCTGATGTTACCCAGGAAGCTGCCCTGCAATCAGAACCTGGCCTACAGCAACCTGACACATGCTATCTGTTTATGATAAGCTCTGCTTGCCATGGGTGGCTCCGAACCAGCAGTTATGTGTTTCCAAGGAGGTGAA